AGTCCTGAATGACCCTACCTTCTTCAAAGAGAATAGCGAGGTGACTACCAAAGATATCCTCAAGCGATATGGGGATATTGCACGAGGCAGCATGTCTCAGAAGCCCAGCAATGGTGGCGAGACTGTTACAATTACGAACTCCACTCGCGGAGCGAACATTCCTACTTCTGCACGCATTGAAACGGACGCCTCCCAAGATGCGGCTTGGCAGGCACAGAGCTCAGTTCGCCACGTCCAAAGCCCCGGGGGACTTGGCCACTCTACAAGCACCGCTCAGTCTGGTATGGACCTTGGTCCTGCAGCGGCTAAAGATTACCGTGAGCGAAGCACGAGTAACAGCAGCCAGCAAAATACTGTCCAATCTGATGGACAAGGCCAGCCGATGCCTTACCGACCTCGTCCAGGCGTTGGACCTATGGGCGTTGCGGGCTAAATTAACAGCTAGCCTTTGTCTTCGGCGATGGCACTACATCGTCGCTTTTCTGCATAGTCTCGAAGATATTTTACTGATACAATAATCGCCAATATCTCGTTTGAGCTCCAAAGAATGCTCTTGGCGTATGACTGGGCCGTTCAGCGTTTATTCGATATAACATGGTTGGATGGAGTTTCTTTCACCTTTTGAATTGAGATGATTATCGATGTTTGCCAAAATTGTCGGCTCGAAGATCCTCTTGGCTGATGGTTGTTCTTTTCTTCTTACCTTGTCTTTTGTGCTCTGGCAACTTGAAGCGCATTTGCATTGGCCGTGGGTCCCAGTACGACTCACCGCACCCTTAATTTGCTTTCTACCTCGATGGGCTAGTTACGGAGGTACGTCTGTCCGTCGTGACCTTGTTAGGTTCATATTCTGGGGGACTTGGGGTGTCACTCTTCTCCCAATTTTCCATCTTCCCCATCTCTTCTTTTCTCGCCCGTTGTTATCTCAAAGCCTTGCCTTGCAGCCCTTTGCGTTTTCACAGCCCGAGACCCAAAGCGAACAATGCCAGGGGCATTTCCTTTCTTTCCATTCCCTCGATTTCATTTTCTTTTTCTTCTGACTTCTTGAACACCATGGTGTTTTGCAATCTTGTGCCTTACTAACTTCCATTCCACTGTTGTGTGAGATTATTCTGAGTCGGACGCGCTAGCAAGGAGAGAGCAGCTTTCTTCTTCTTCCAGTTTACTTTACTTCATTTTCTCAGGCAGTTCCAGATTAACTGCGAAGATACCTGTGCCGAGTCATGCGATATTTTCTTTTCTCCTTTTTTTCTTCTACCTTTTCTACTTTCTCCATCCCTTCTCTCCTATCTCCATTCTATTCCACTTTCTCCCATTCCAAAACCATACGACCTAACCCCAGCTGATATCCCGACTTGTTTGTGTTCCTTTTCTTTTTCTTCTTCTCTTCAGCATCCTTGTGATGTCTTTCTATTCTCCTTTTCCCTCTTATTTCCCCCTTTTTTCTCATTCAGCCCCCGCCTGCCCTCATAAAAAAAAGAGGTGTAATTTACTAGCGACTATGAATGAAAGACATTATCATAGTACCTGCCACTTTATAGGCTTGACCGCGTGAAAGTATGATACTTAGTGGTCAATGCTGGAAGCGGTTTTGATGCTCCCATAAGAGGTTACTCAACAGGAAATGCATGCTGAATTTATGTAAACACATTCATAACTCAACAAGGAGAAACATGACACCTGGCAATGTCTCTCGACGATGATTTTGATGCAATGGGCCAAAAGAACAACGACAAAATCTGCAGTCGATATAAAAACTCCGAATAATTCACTCCAAGCCCCAAATACTCCTTCGATACCTAAATTAACTCTCAAATCGCACACCCCCCGGTATCAAGCAGAACACCACGTGGAACTCCAATCATACACAAAGCAACAATAAGAGGTATCAAAATGACTAAAGTCGTAAGAACAAAGATAGGTAGTTAGATCCCTATCAGGCCCGCTTGCGCAGAACCCTGCGACCGGCTGCGGGGGCAGCTTCACCGCCGGCCGGGGTGGTGGCTCGCTTGGTCGTGGTTCCTGATGCGGCGTTGCGTTTGGCAGCGGCGGCCGCGGCGGTTTGGGTGCGGCCGCCCGCGTTCTTCCTGGCAGCGGAGTAGGCAGGCGCGGACGCCGTGGCACTCCCGGCGGTCTTCTTGCTGCCCGTGAGGGTCCGGGTTGGCTTGACCGCCACGGTGGTACCGGAGGAGGCGGACGAGGAGACACTGTCCCGGCGGTCGACTACCTGGCGCGTCGCGGGCCGCGGTAAGGGCGAGCGTAGGGTCTTGCTGGTCGTGGTTGCGGCGCGGCTTGCCGGGCGTCTGGTGGCTGCTTGGGACGAGGGCCTGACGACGGATGTCGAGGGCGCGTTGGTGCCGCGAACGGACCGCAGGCCGGGCATGCTGGCGGAGGTGCCCTTGAGCGGGCTGGAGGGCTTGAGCGGGGACATGGGCCGGGAGAGGAAGGACGATGTGTGGTGGGGGTGGTGGGTGGATTTCTCGGGCGAGGCGACGCGTAGAGGGGACTGGGGGTATGTCCGCGAGTTCGAGGTCTTCGGCGACAGAATCCGGTAGTCGTTGGCGCCCCGCATCTCCTGGGACACCACCCGCGAGGTTCCCGCTGCTGCACCGGGCTTGGCGCGGCGTTTGGGGTTCTTGAGCACGTCGAGCGACTCCCCGCCCGGGGCGGGCGCGTTCTCTTTATCGGAATAGATGCCTTCGTGGCTGGTTTGGGGGGAAACAGGATCAGTGGATTGAACGATCACGATGTCAAGTTACCACCGCGGGGACGACTCAGAGAGGATATATCTTCTTACGCCGTACCTTTGTTTGCGTACCCTGCGGGAGCTGGGACTTGCAGTCGTCGCTTTGCGCAACTTGGGGCTAGCGGAGATGGCTGCGAAATTCCGGGATGCTTTGGCTGGGCTAAGCAGCAGCTTGCGGGGGGATGTGTTCTCTTGCTGTGCTCTCATGTGCTTCTCGAGTAGTTCGCCCATGTTGGCTCTGCGGAGTGCGATGGGGATTCGGTTGATGCGTCGCTCGATCCGGGCGCGTAGGTCGTTGGCTTGGAGAGCGTACTGGGCACGGAGTTTGCGGGCGCGTTCGGTGACTGGGACGGCGGTTAGTACCAGAATTGAGGGATGAAGATTGCGCTGTCTTCGGGAGCGTACTTTCGAGCTGGAGGTTGTCAATGAGAGCCTGTTTCTGGTTGCGTGTAATCCGAAGCTTCTTCTTAGGCGGGCTGTTGGTGGGTGTAAAGGCTTCCTCGTTGTGGGACGCGTCCTCGGGGGACTTGCGTTTGGAGGCAAGGGACGCCATTGGGCTTGAACTAGGTCGCTAGCGATCGCTGGTCTGTAGACGTGCAGGATATCCGATGCAGAATTTAAAAGGCTGGAACGAGACCAGAAGGATGATTGAGTCGAGAACTGCGTCTGGATTGAAGGGAGGGAGGAAAGCGGAAGAGTTGGCGGGCGGGAGAGTGTGTGAGAGGAGAGGATAAACAACCTTGATTGAAGTGCTGACTTAATTCGTGGTTAGCTCCGATCGGGAGAGGGTGTGACATCTTGCAGTCAGTCCCCGTCCCGTACCTCTCCATTACCGCAGCTCTCACTCTCTTCCATCTCCATCATCTCCATCTTCATCCACCCTCTCCTGTCACTTCCTCTCCATCTACTCAGAAATATTTCTATTTCCGGCATTTACAGCGCCTTAACACTTCACCTACTGACACATATATCGATCACTTCCGTCGTTCCTAGCAACGCCTAACCTTCGCCAAGATGGAAGCTACCATGATCATGTCCGTTCCTCTGTTCCCTCCCCCTCCCTCATCTCAAGCTTCGTGCACCCTGGCTAACAACCCATGCAGTGTGGACAACAGCGAAAGCAGCCGTAACGGGGATTATACGTAAGTACAGCGAAGTCTCACCAAGAGCCATCGAACCTTCTCTCGTTCCGACCGCTGACAGCTGAGCTGCCAGTTCGACCCGATGGCAAGCACAGATCGACGCTGTCAGCGTCATTCACACGACCAAGATGCGCGTACACCCCCAATCCGCCGTCGGTCTGATGAGCATGGGAGGAAAGGGCCCCGAAGTCCTGTCGACATTCACCACCGACTTCGGTGGTATCCTGGCTGGTCTGCACCGCACGAAGATCGGTGGCACTGCCCACCTTAGCTCCAGCATACAAGTGGCCGGTGTATGTTTGCTTACAACCTCCCACGCCCAAGATGAGTATTCAAAACCAGCTAACCAGACGGCCAAACTATAGCTCGCCCTCAAGCACCGCTCCGAGAAGTCCCAGAGACAGCGCATCATCGTATTCTCCTGCTCGCCCATTGAAGAAGACGAGAAGACGCTCGTGAAGCTCGCCAAGAAGATGAAGAAGAATAACGTGTCCATCGACGTGATCGCCTTCGGAGACCTCGAATCCGACCAGACCAAGAAGCTCGAGGCGTTCGTCGAGAACGTTAAGGGTGGCGACGGCTCCCACCTGGCCATCATCCCGCCCGGCGACAACCTGCTGAGCGAAGAGCTCCAGGCCACGCCGATCTTGGGCGGTGACGGCAGCGGCGCCGGTGGCGCCGGTCCGGACGGCGGCGACGGCGGCTTCAACTTCGAAGATGCGGCGGAGAACGATCCCGAGCTGGCCTTTGCCCTGCGTCTGTCGCTCGAGGAGGAGAAGAACCGACAAGAGAAGGAGAAGCGGGATCGGGAGGAACAAGAGCGCAAAGCCAACCTGGAGGGTATCCCCGAGGAGGGTGGTGAGGGTAGCGGAAGCAAAGATAAGAAGGATGACGGTGACAAGATGGACACCGCTTAATGTGCGAGGAAATTTGAAATGATTCCTCGTGGATGACCTCCTTTTTTCTTCTTCAATCTCTGATGCATACCCGGCGTTCCTTCTGATGTGTACTTGCGTTAAAGTTTTCTCTGGTTTTTCTGTTTGGTTGTAATTGTAGAACGTGGGTTCTAGAGTTGACCCCCTCCCACACGACAACGCTTTTGAGAAAGGCTTGCGGTATCTCTATGGGAATTCTATATCATCATGATCGTAGTTCTATGCCGGAGAGAACCGCGACGCATATATAAAGAAAGAAAAAGAAAAAAGAATTGATGGACGAACGCCTCCCGCGAAAGAAGAAAAGTAAAAGAAACATGATACACCAGTACAATCATTAAGAGTGCCCGTCGCCCCAAATTCAACATTGGACCACGCCAACAACAAGGAATCCAATCTTTTCCGCTTGTCCATGTCATAACACAACAAGGGAAGTAAAGAAACCCCTCACGTCCTCCCGCGCAACCACCCGTTCAAGTTCCGATCAAACGCCTCGCACCGCACCGGCATCTCCAACTGATAGAAGGGATTCTTCATGACGAAGTCGGCGTAGAACTCGTAGATCTTCTTCATCACCACCTCGATGTTGGCCATGTGCGGGTCCGTGAAGAGGAGGAACTTGGTGCCCGTCAGCGTCTGGAAGCACGTCAGCCGGAACTTGTCCGTCTCGAGGGACTCCAGCCCCGTCGCGGGGACGCCGGGGATCGGGTATGTGTATGTGGTCGCGGCGACGGATGTCGTTGTTGTCGTTGTCGTCGTCGTCGTCGTCGTCGTGGGCGGGATCGGGGTGGAGGTGCCCGAGGGGGAGGCGAGGTTGGAGGAGGCGCTGGTCGGGGTGGAGGCTGTTGCGGTTGGGGTGAGGAGGGGGAGTTTGGGGGTGATGGTGCGGGTGATGGCGTGGACGCTGTTGTTGGCATGAGTGGTGCATAGTTAGTATCGTATTGTCCTAGTGTGCGATGCATTCGTCTCTCTCTGGAGCGAAGGCGTTTGTATCAAGGTCCACATACCCGTGAAAGGTTCCGGCGAGAACGAGGTAGTCGTTTGTCGAGAGCTTGCGGAGGCCCGGTTGGAATTCGCGCTGGTAGATTAAACCTCCGGCTTTGTTGATGATGATTAGGGAGAAGACCGTCCTATTTGTTTTGGGTTAGATGTTTTCTTTTTGTGTTTTTTGGTGGGGAGGGAGAAAAGGGAGTTGGGAGTTTGGGGTTCTGGTTGCGACGTACATGGTGATGGGGGGGGGGGGGGAATGAAGCTATGTCAGTCGTGGGAGTAGTATCGGACGATCTTGTCCTTTGAAGTGGTTTCAGGGTCTGTGGTCATACGACATCACAGACGCTTTCTCGTCAATTATTGGCAATCGAGGTGTAGAGGACGTGTGATCTTATTTTGCCGTGATTTCATATCAAATCGTTTGTTGTTCTGATCATTATACCCGGTGATTATTGCGGAGGTGTTGTTGGCCGCGGTGTCTTACACTGCGTCGGTCTTCCTCACCGCTTTCGATGGGAAGGTCCTTTGGGTGGACCTTTAAATAGCCCGCTGTTTTCTCCGCACTTGCCCCCATCTCATGCATGTCCTGGGACTTACCTAAGCCCTGCATGAAGTTTACAAGTCTACAAACTTACATGGCGCACATAGCCAGTCCTCTGGGAAGGTACAATGGTCAAGGATATGGTTCATTGAATAAAAAGCTGAATTGTCATACATGTCAACGTGATGTACTGCGTCTAATCATAAAGAACTCCCGCTTGAGAATTGAATCACATGCGGCATCATGACCGGACAGCCACGACGTCTGTCACTTCCACAATATTCTACATTGAGCAAGAAGTCAGCAAAGACAGAGTCTCCACAATATACCCCGATATCATCAGCATCAGAGCAAGAGAGAAAGAACTTACCGGCCGTCCCTGCACCCTATGCTCCGTCTCAAACGACCGAGTCGTATATCTTACCTCACCCTCCCCTCCCTTGCCCCCCGCCCTCACATACTCCAGATAATCCGGCGCGCCGGGAATATCCGTATTGTCCGCAATGACCTTCGACCCGACATGGAACAGCGCCAGCTCCTCAGACAGCTGCAGGTCCGAGAGATAGAACTTCTCCCAGTGATCGAAGAACGCCATGTCGACGCCGCCGGGGGTGATCTTGCCCTGCTCGACCAACCCACGCAGAGACTCCGACGCCGGTCCCACCAGGACGTGCACGACCTCCTGCAGGCCCGCGAGCTCGATGAAGTCCCGCGCCACCTGGGCGATGGACTCGCTCACCTCGAAGGTGTAGATGTGGATGTCGTTGTCCGCGGACGGCCCGTGCAGATCGCGCAGGATGGCCGCCCACGCGATGGCGGAGCAGCCGATGTAAGTCCCGAACTCGATGACGGTCTTGGGTTTGGGCTGCATGGACTCGAGGTGCTGCTGCGCGACGCGGAGCTTGGTTTCCTTGAAGTTCATCAGGTGTCGCGTCTGGCTGTATTCGTCGAGGGCGCGGTACAGCGCCCATGGGTTGTTGCGGTAGGGCTCGGTGCTGGGTTGGCTGAAGATGTGGGCGTGCGCGGCTTGGGCAGCAGCTTCGGGGTTCTTTCATTGGGAAGAGGTTAGATTTTCTGAGGAGGTTCTGTAGGGTCCACGTGGACGGGTGGGTTGAGGACTTACGTGCGGAGGCATGTTGGTGGGATTAATGTGTATGGATTGGTTCTGAATAGGTGCTTGGGGTATAAATGGTTGGTGTCGAGTCAAAAATAGAGAGCTTGGGGTTTTCTCGTAGAGGCAGTGTCTTGTAGGCTGGAGATGGCCGTGTCTATTGTGGGCATGAAGCTTTTATACACGGCTGCTGAACGATCTGCAAATGCAGGCGGCGGTGACTTTCACCTGCCATCCTCGGTTCTGAGGTAAGTGGTCCACCCTATGACGAACGTCTTTCTATCTCCGAGAGGCATCTTCTTTGACGCTTTTGAATGGCTATAGACACAATTCCGTATGGAGAACACTGGATCATTCGTCACGCTCATGCTGGAAGCCTTTGTGGTGGATATCATTGCATGGAGTCTAGTACTAAGATGAGGTCTTCGTCCGAGAGTGTCGGAGTTCGGTACTATCTAAGGTAAGCAAACCCGAGATCTTATCGCCGAGGTATCCCACCGCTGCATACAGATCCACTTCGGCTCGAGGATGTGATGATCGCCTTACGCCGGAAGACTCATACGTTGTGGCAGTGCAAAGTAAAGGCAAGTTGCCGAACGGCTGTGCGGCCTGTAGAACGAGTCTATAGCTTGACTCTGCCTTTTCGTTTCACATCGTAGCGACAGTTTGCAGTAGCGTACACATTACTCCTCCCCTCGAGGATGGACCAGCCCCTCATTGTTGAACTCATACCGCGTCTCCGCATCCTAAGCCGATAAAAGCGTCAGTCTACCACCCAGCAAAAACTTTCTGCCAATATCTCTCTGAAGAAAGGTAAAAAAAAAAAAAGAAAGACCACTCACCCAATATTCCTCAAACCCGACGCCCGCACAAACCTCCTCATACCGCAGAAGCTGCGGCGGCGCGCCGACCGTAAAACTCCGTTTCAGGCCCTCCAGCGCCTCGCGCGTACTCTTCAGCCGGGCCGCCACCAATGTCCAGGGGTACGCGACGGCCGCGAACCCCAGGCCCGCCAGCTCCGCGGCTGAAAGGTTCTCCGTCTTGCCGCCCTCGATGATGTTCGCCAGCATGGGCACGTCCAGCTCCGCCACGCAGCGGCGCATGGCCTCGCGGTCGGGCAGCGCCTCGACGAAGATGGCGTCCGCGCCGATCGCAATGAACTCCCTCGCCCGGGCCATCGCTTCGTCCCACCCGTGGATGAGGGCGTCGGTCCGCGCCAGGATGAAGATGTCGCGGCCCTGGTTGCGCGCGTCGACGGCGGCTTGGATGCGCGCGTAGGCTTCGCCCCGTGGGACCACGGATTTGCCTTTCGTGTGGCCGCAGCCTTTTGATATCGCAGGGTCGTTAGTTTGGTGGATTAGAGAGGGTTTGTTAGGGTGAGCTGGGAGGAGGCTGGGAAGGGGCTAGGGATTGTTGAGCAGGGGACGCACGTTTCGGCCAGGTCTGATCCTCGATCATGACGCCTGCAGCTCCGGCGGCGGCGAAGCACTCGACCGTTCGTTTGACGTTCATGGGACTGCCGTAGCCCGTGTCCCCGTCGACCATGATGGGGAGGTCGGTGACGATGCGGGCGGTCTCTTGGATCTTGTGGCACATGTCTTCCATGGCGATGTAGCCGGTGTCCGGCAGGCCGTGGGCGCTGGAGACGGCAAAGCCGGAGAGGAAGATGAGTGGGAAGCCGGACTCGGCGACGAGGCGCGAGGAGAGCCCGTCGTAGGTGCACGGAAATGCGAGGATGGTGTTTGGGTCGCGGTGGGAGGTTTGGAAGAGGGTGCGAAGGTGCGAGGCCTGTGGACTGGGCAGGCGGCCGCGGACATTCTGAAGAGTGTAGGTGAGGGTTTGAGGTTTGGTTCGGGGATCTGTTGCTGATCGTGAGGCTGTTGCGGTTGTGCTGTGCTTGCTAGGTGAGGGGTGACGTGGTAGAGTGTGGTTGAAGGGGTACGGGGTCATTTTGGGCTAGCGTGACCTGAATATGAAGCGTCGAGATATTCAGGATGTTTTAAAATGGCAGAAGGTACATTGGCAATAGTGTGTGGTAAGCATTCGTCTTGGGTGGTAGTACTGTTGTTCAACCTGTTGATGTCACGGCGGGGGATACTGAACACATGACTGCCGATCCATCTATAGCGGGGATCATCTACTTCGGAGTATCAATGCTGCTGTGTAAAAGCTCCAGAGTCTTTGACCTTGGGTTGAGAGCTGCACAGCTTTCCGGGGAGAGACTTTCTCTAACGAAGGTTAGTGCTCTAATGTGAGTTTGACGAATTCCTTTTTGTCGCGTTGAGGTAAGATTAGACAGTGGACTGGCTGACGTGGAATCGCATAGTTCCGAGACGAAACCAATACCAAAATGCCTATTCTGTACCACGGATAAGTTGCCTGGCCATTTTAAAGTCAATTTGCCGCACCTCTACAATTACATTTAGCACATAGCTATTCTCCTTTTAGGCGAAAGCCAACAGAAACAATCGGAGAGCTCCTTGGCAGCATGACGAACATCCATCCACTCAAGGTACCAGGTTTCGTTTTCAAAGCATCCAGGCGACGATTGAGTGCAACATGCCCCTATGTCGAGGCCGCTAGTGTACGGGAAAATACCAGGATCCACTGGAAACCCATATTCTAGAAGACCTGGAATTCAAACCAACGACCAGAATAACGGCCACCAACACGTGGGCACATTCCGTAGGCCCGGCGATAAGCCAACCCGCGTTCTTCACCCTGTCAGCCGCACGGACAGTCTGCGTTTTATGAAGAGAGTACAAGCGGATGGAATCAATTCGGGGGCCAAACTCAGGGACCCGCCGCGGGAAGTCTTGCTCTAGAAACCGGTCGCCACGTGGAAACCGGTGTCGTTTGGGCGCCTGGACGATCAGACCATGCTGGGTTTAGTCTGGGGCTGAACTGGACTGGCTGAACAGATTGTGCTAGGTTAGTTGGTGGTGGGTCGAGTCTCCTCTATTGGCAAATACCTATGATAGGTATGGATGACTTAAACGGGAAATGAAGTTCAATATGTATGATGTATCAATTGATATGTGAATATATCTCTTTCCTTCTCGCTCCAAGAGTGGGTATTGGGTATTGATAGACAGCGTGATAGCACAGACAGACAGTAAAGGAAACACCATATACTCCTCTAAACCAAAGATGTGAAATACAGGATATCAGATCATCAAATGTCGTCATCAAGAAAAGGGGAAATGGCCATAGATTAAACAGATAAATGTGCAACAGCCTGAGGCATGGGAGAAGTGGAGGGAACAGTTGGAATGGCAGGAGAGTTCATCTCAAAGGGGAAGCAGCAGTTACTTGTCACAGAAGACAGCCAACTTCAACTCTCCGTCCACTTCCCGGATGATTCCCTCCTCCATAGCCCACTGCCGCAACAACAAGTCCTCGCTTTCCTGCTCGAGGTTGTCCTTTTCATAGTGGCGACCAACGTGCTCCATTCGGTCATTCCAACTATGTGCACCAACAAATTCCTGTCCACAGAAGCCGCACTGGCTGTGAAGAGGGGGCTTGCGTTGTTCGTGCCAACATCGTGCCCGCACAGCCTCCAGGCTCTGCTCAAACGCCTCCCGCTCTTCTTCGGTCTCGGGCGACTTCCGGTTCCGGCACACCCAGGGAGCATGCATGCGACGCTGGTGCTGCGTGAAGAGGTCTTTGCGGTTGAAGTCATTGACCAGGTGAGATTCGTTGTAGGCGAGGGGCTCGTGCGGTGAGCTGAGGTTTCTCTCTTTGCTCAGGTTGTCCAAGCTACAACGCCCCACATCGCATCGGAAAAATCCCAATTGAATGTGCTGAGAGATCACATGTCGCTTCCACTCGTTCTTCGACACGAATGTGCTGGGGCAGCCATAGTGTGAGAAGCTGCAGGTGTATACTCGACTGGGTGGTGGAGTATTCTTCTTCGCCGTTACCCGTGAGCCAGCACGGGCGCTTGCAGTGGTGCTTGTATTGCTGGACGACTTCCGCGTCTGTTTAGTGATGCGACTTTTGCTGGCTTTTGATGTTTTTCGTGACTTGGCTTGGAACTTTGGCGAGTCAGAAGCGGCGCGCTCCTTCTTGACCGGCTGAGCGCAGATCGACATCCCGGTCATGAAATTGGTCTCACAGTTCGAGAAAACTCCTTGATACGGAAAGGTGGCATGCGTGCTTGGAATGAGTACTTCGGGCTCAATCTTCACCATGGACTCTGGCTCTGGGTAGATTTGAGAAGGCGCCACCAGGCAATCGACAGAAGCGGGCGAAGCGCACGGCTCATATGCAGATGGTATCATGACATCGTCACAGGTATAAGGGGGAGACATGTAACACCCCATATTTATCCAGTTTGAGTCGTTACACTTGGGACTTCCCAGCGCCGGCGAAGAGGTGGGCTCGCTGCTCCAGGGGGACGAGAACCCTGTTGTGAGAGTGTCGATATCATCTCCCATGCTCGTCCAGGACATGTTGGATGTGGGATAGAGGCCTTTCATAGGGATAGCTTCCGGGGTGAGATGAGGTTGAAGGCCTGAAGGATGTTGGCTCATCGTGGGGTCCGTATACGACGACTCATACTTGCAAGGGTACAGTTCATAATCCTGGGGAACACTAACCCCGGATGCTAGTTGGGGAACATCGGAGAAGGCTGAGAAACGGTCCATGATATGGAAATGAAGAAGCAAGCAAGAACTCGCTTCGAACTATGAGATTGTCTGTACACGGAACCACAACACAGTCGGAAAGAAAATGTTTGGCTCCATGTGTCGCGGCAGCCAGGGGCATTTATCTTCAGCTGGACGACCACATGGCTATGAACTCACTTGGAACGGGCGTTACGGGAAATGGGGCACTGTAGCCCGAAAAGAGCCCAGAGTCAAGGCCATTGTTGAGCCGCATAGGCTCAATGGGCTGGGCGATTATTCGTCGAAATTGCTTGCGGGATTGCATCTTGAGAGACCCAAAGCAGGAAACCCCTGCAGCGGCATCTAGCCCGGGCTTCTGGACATCTGGACGATCCATTTTCATTTCCTCCACACCCCCCCTTTCCTCTGGCGGTCTGGTGGATTTTCGTGTTTTCATTTCCCAATATACTTCTCTCGACACTAATGCTCCGTTCAGTCACGCTATGAAGGGTACCCCCTGTCAGACGGCGACTGGATCGCTGTCTCTCGTGGTGAGCGAACCCCCGGATGGGCTACCCTAGCCTCAATTTCGGAAAGGGTTGTTGGGATTATCGCGCGCATCTTTGCCTGAGAAGTCTCGGGAATAGAGCAAACAGGTGTTATCATCTAAATTTACTGTTCAGAAGGAAGCATTCCAATCCCTCGTGGCTCGCACAGCCCAGGTTTCATGCGTGCACATTCCAAGTTTCCTCTGATTGATTGGATTTGGGGGTTTGCTCCTTCTGTGCCCGACGAGTCTCCCCCAGAGTGCCTGCCATTCAGCCTCAATTAATCGATAGGCAGTGTTGCGCTAATCCTGCATTAGCTGGGCAAACCCATACCAACAGGGTTTAACTTGACTTGTCGGGGGCCAAACCTACCGTACGGAGCCACCCTGGGCCCATCTGCCAGCGTTGACTTATCGCCTCCGCACCAACCACAACCTTCAATAACGAGTCATTGAACAAGTGGGTCTCCACCAGCTCTCATTCGGTATCGCTCATGCAGGGGGTCTCGAACAGGTAAAAACCCACAGCGATCATCACTTCATTCAGCTGGGTGACTATGACTGGTTGCCTTTTTGCGCACCTGTTGGCTTTTCCCCGGGCGCGATTTGACCCTGTCGGCGAGGCACGCACCGCATCAACCCGCGCCACGCTGTCTTTTGATACGCTTTTGGCATGCATGTCCCACCTGGAAATAATGACGCTCCGACCTCATTCTCCAGGCGTACCGTTACCCGCTAAACGTCTGACAGGCTCACGGATCGTGTCTCTTCCGTTAGCACCTTGGTCATCCTCTTGAGATGTACGGATTAATTATTATCGTTATTATCGCAATTCGCCAAGGATTCCTGATATCATCCCTTTGGCATGGCAAAGGGTCCACATTTCTTTCCCCCTTTTACCAGTGTAGTTGAACAGTCGATATGCTTGAAGCAGCGGTTGCTCTCCACTTCGTCCTATTTTCATTTTGGGGGCCAAATTTGTTCCGATGGACCACGCGACAACACCCGCGCTATGCAGCGATTCGTTAGATCGGTATCTCTGTTATGAAACCAACTAACGGGGTGTTGAGGATCGACCTGAGCTCGACTATTCACACCATAAAGGGAAAGGTCAGATTGACGGCTATCAGAAGACGAAGGTTTCGCGACCGATGGCTGAATATTCATTCGTACGTTCTCATTTCGAGATACCGGTCGATACCCTGAGGCGTTCATCGGTGGCTGAGCCGTTGGCTGTGTTGGGTATGCGTCCGACCGCTTGTATGAGTACACACAGGGATCTGGCAAGGCGCTTTTCTGTCGCGGTACGACATCGCCCACCGCTTCTTTATCCTGTCACTGCAATACGTAGCCCGTAGGGCTCAAGGAAGTTTCGGAAGAAATCCGGCTTTCTTCCCTGTTCACGGCGGTAAGATGTGGTTCGGAAAGTGGAAAAGAAGCGGTGCAGCCCCAGTGACTCCACCAATGCAGCTAAACTGACTCACACTTCCTGCCTGTCAGTTGCCGCAGCTCAGCTACTCCGTCGATACTCATACTTAGTCTATATGAAAAGGTTCTTTCTTCCCATCGGAGGCATTTTGCTTTCCGTGGCTCGCATCCCATTGGTTTGTTCGTGTAATTACATCATTTTCTCCCCACTCCCGTTAACTCCGTACCTTATCGTGACTATCTATCATCATTATCGTTGATCCCCAGCTGAACGTTCCGGGCGAGACAGTTTCCGAAGGGGACGCCCGCGACAAACGCGCGTCTCATGCGAATCATATCTGGGGGGGGTGCAGGATCTCGAGCAGCCCTCTTAATTTCCTCGCCTCTTTGAATTGACATCATTTTCTGTGTCACCAAATGACTGCTGACCATTGCTTGCTTGCTTGCCTGCTTGCTGCGATACGACGCCCGTTCTAGGATCCTGTGTTGGGACAATCAATAGAACTAAATCTCCGCTGTTCTGTGCCCACGGACCTGAACTTGCTACGCTCTAGTATAGATATGTATTGTATTGTACCGTACGATGTATGTCGCCGACCTCAACGGGGAACCACTGCCTGCATTCAAACCCCAGCCCAGATAAGATACAGTTAACAGTTACGAGGGACTGGCCCCACTGCTACCGCTCTCCCGTCCGTGGAAGAGACAGGTCACAGTTGGAAGGTCCACACCACAACCTTGAACCGCACTGACTGACACTGCCATTTACATACACGGACACTTATACTTCCGGGAAAAACAAAGAGACGAGTTGTTTCTATCTCCTAAGAGCGAAAACGTAGCAAGACTCTAGCTAACGCACCCACACTACAATAGCACATACAGTATAGCCACAGTTACAGCCACAGCCCGATCCTCACCAAGACCGAGAAGAAACCCCAACAACCGAGCAAAATTCCAAACCATGACCAAAACACACTCATCTCTCAGCAACAAGCAACAAGACGAATCACTCCTGCTTGACCTTCTTGCCCCACCGCTTCGGCACCCGCACCAGCCAGTACAGGAACACCGCGGCGGCCGCATTGAACACTACGTACACGAACAGCAACCCGATGTTGCGCCAGCGGTCGGCGAACGACATGCTCAGCGTGGCGAGGAACTGGTCGGTCGTCGAGTAGGCGCAGACGCGGCAGGTGGTCGTGTCGGATGGGTTGAGGAGGCGGGCCTGGGCGGCCTTGACCCAGGGCGAGAGGTAGTCGGCGCAGGTCTGGTTGGCGGGCGGCGGGATGTGGAGGAGCTCGATCTCGGAGCAGTTGACCTCGGCGCCGGCGAGGCCAACGCTCAGAATCGCGGAGACGAGGTAGGTGAAGGGGGAGACGCGGTACATGAAGATCCAGAACCGGGGGAGCGCGGTTGGGGAGGCGAGGACGCTGATGAGTGCGTTAGTTTGGTGTTGGTGGGACTGATGCTGATGCCGTTCCAGATGTGAAGTGGTTTGAGGAGTAGACTCACCCGTTGAAGATCAAACAGAAGGAGAATAACAGCTGGGCGACGTTGCTGCCGGTCTCGGGCTGCTCAATCCCCGCGATCACCATGGAGCTGAAGGTGGAAGTGAACATCATGAAGACTAGGATCAGCAGGAACATGGTGCCCCCGCGGTCGGTCACCGCGCCTGCAGGGAGGTGACGGTAGAACCCGATCGGATAGTACCACGAGAAGTAGGCGGGCACGGCCATGAGGATGTTCCAGGGGAGCTCGACGAGGATGCTGGCGAGCATAAACGCTTTCCACGAGTAGGCCTTGGACGGCCGCTCGCGCACCTCGTACAACGACCGCTGGCTCACGAAGTATGGCATCATCTGCTGCACGAGATTGGGGAAGATCACCAGGAGCATGAAGATGGCGAACATCTCGTTCTGCATGCCCTGGATACTGGTCGGCTCGCGCCAGAAGGTGAACCCGATGAAGAGGGGCTGTATCGATCGTGGTCAGTGATGAGTCCAATCAGTCAGTGTAGAAACAGAGGAAGAACGACACGTACAGGTATAATGCACATGGCGGCCTTGGAGTAGATGTACGACGGGCTGCGCCAGTATTGCTGGAACATGCGCTTCAGACACAGGACGAACTGCGCCCAGATCGGCATTGCGAACTCCCCGTATCCAGTCACTTGCGGAGGGGGTGGCCGCTGCAGAAGCTCCGCCTTCATCTGTGCAAGTTCGTGACGCACCTGCGTGCGCTCGGGGCTTTGATTCCAGACGTCACCCCAGTCTTTATCGGCATGGGACCCTGGTGCGGCTCCGATCACCTCGAGCATCCACTCGGCGGGGTTCGCGTTGGGTGGACACTTTGCGGACCCTTTGTCTTCAAAGTACTTGATGAGGGTTTCCATGTTCGGACCCAGCTCGCCAAAGTAGACGGTCCGTCCTCCTTTCGCCAGGAAGAGGAGTCGATCGAACTCTTGCATGAGGATCGCCGACGGCTGGTGAATTGTACACAAAATCGCTTGGCCGTGATCTGCTAGCTTACGCATCAAGGAACAAATAGACCATGCCGTCTGACTGTCAAGACCTGAAGTGGGTTCGTCGAAGAAGAGAAGGAGGTCTGGTTTCGCGGCAATCTCCACCCCAATAGTCAATCGTTTGCGCTGCTCGACGTTCAAACCTTCGCCTAGGACGCCCACAACTGCTTCAGCATATGCTTCCATATTGAGCATCTTGATCACCTCCTCAACGTAGGCGATCTTCTCCGTACGCGGAATACTGGCCGGTTGGCGCAGCATGGCGCTGAAGATCAAGGCCTCGCGTACGGTACTCGTCTCCAGGTGCAAGTCCTGCTGTTGGACATAGCCTGTCTTGCGAGAGAAGGAATTATTGCGCATGCGCCCGTCGACCAGCATCTCGCCCGTCACGACACCCATAGTCACGCGGTTTGCCAGCACGTCTAGCAAAGAGGTCTTCCCAGCACCCGTCACGCCCATTAGCGCTGTCAGCGTTCCGGGTTGAACCCATCCGTCGACGTGGTCGAGAATGGTGCGGTTTTGGCCCTTGATCTTGATGTTGTAACAGACATCTTGCCACTGGAAGATTGAGGTTTGTTTAACGATCGCTGCCGTATGTTGGTCCGGATCGTGATCCTCTTCTGCGGCTACCCTATTTTCTTCGGCCATTGGCGCGGGGCTCTCTAGGTCGCTGCTGATGCCCGGCTGTTTCTTCTTGATGAACGCGGGCATCTTCCCTCGCGGGAAAACGAGGATCTCGCCTTTGGAGGGCTTGGCGCGGACCAGCTCGCTGCTGACGACGTAGCAGGCTAGGGAAAACAGGAGAAACGCCCAGATAATGCCGTAGTTGCGCCACAGGTGCGAGCGATAGTACTGGTAAGTAACATTGATGAATCTGTCCCCATCGACGAAGTCTTGTCCCGCAATTGCGCCGTTGGCGCTACAGATCTTGGAGCTCATGGGCGCATCACTGTAAGAAGGGACATACAATGCGCAGGGAAATTGGCGGTCACTGAATTCGTTGATCATCAAGCTTTCGAAGGCATACTGTTGCTTTGTTAGTGGAATGCCTAAAATCCCGGATTAGGGTAGACGTACGCCAATCGGGTTTAGGTAGTTCAACCACCGGAACCAAGGATGCATGTCTCGCACTGGAATCGTGAAGCCTGTGTAGATGACAAGGATCATCATGAATATGGACGATGGGACCATCGCTTGGGCCATAGACCGCGAGACGGCGCCAGTAAAGCGGAAGATGTTCGACATGGTGAGCGTTACAGTGACGGAGAAGAGGTAGAACACAAAGAAATGACCCGCCGTACGGCGCAGGTTAGACATGAAGTAGAGGATTATGTTGAACACCACCGACACTATGAGTTTCGACGGCAAGTCTACTATCATGGAGCTGATTGCTTCCGCAGACGGGTGGTAGAGTGCATATTTGTCATGTTTCTCCACAATCGGTCGCTGTTGCCATAGAGTCAGAATCTCTAAGGCACTTGCAAACGCGTTGAGAAGGATGGCAAAGAACAGGAGGGCGCCTCGCTGGAAAAAGCTATTGGTAGTGGTGTCCAGATTGTAGAATACACTAGCAACAACCAAGGCCATGATGCTGTTTCCAATGACTGAGGTAAGAGTCATGGTCATGTCTCCCCTCAGACGCTGCATTCCTCGTCGAAGGCACAGGCGAATCTGCATGGGGTAAGACAGCGTGTAAGGTGACTTGGCCCTCGTTCCTTTTGCCTTCTCGGCCGCGCGAGATCGCGAGAACTCTTCGTATTTGTCTCCTTCCAAAGGATATTCAGCCTGAAAAGTCTCGATATCCGCAAGGAGTTGCTTTCTATCCGCACTCTCTTTCCAACGAGACGCAAATTCGTCGGGTGTCCGAGGAACCAGGTGCTCAAACCCTTCGCGAGCTTTTCGCTCCGTGGAACTGGTTAGCGAGGTAAGAAAGTCTGCTGTGGTCTGTCTTTCGGGGCAATCAAACCCCATCTCGACAAAGAACCGCTTAGCGTCATCTGCGTGGCCGAAGTATATTTGGCGACCTTCATATAGGACGGTCACCTTGTCGAAGATGTCATAGATAGCCTGACTAGCCTGGTAGATAGCCACGATGGCTGTTGATCCGGTGTAGTCTGTAGAGACCCGCAGTCGTCGAACGAATTCCAGAGCTGTAGAGGAGTCTAAGCCTCGCGTACTATTGTCCCAGCATTGTAACGGGCTGCCACACAGCATTGTCTCAGCTATGCTGACTCGTTTTCTTTCTCCTCCCGATACGCCTCGGATGTACTCGTTCCCAATCTGCGTGTTCACTGTGTGGCTCAACCCCAGCATCGCCATAACTACGTCTCGCATGTGGGTAGCATATTGTTCACGTGTAACGCCCGGGAAACGATTGGATGGTGCTCGAGCATGGGCCGCGAAATGCAACGTATCGCCCACAGTAAGTTGCGGGAAATGTGTCTCCGTTTCGGCCTGGTAGATCACCTCTCCGCGGAAGCGACTATGCATTTCATCCCAAGAGATGCCTTGATACTGGATGTCGGTTCCTTCCTCGAGCCACAACCCGTGTGTTTCCCCGGCGATTGTCTTGAGGAACGTCGAACAGCCACTGGGTGAGTGATCAGTGAGCGTTGGAAGAAACTAGCATGCATGTCTTAGGTCGAAAGACCGGCAACAGGCACAATAGACTAGGAAAATGGGCAAACACATGATTGTCACCGACTAGGGAGGGATATAGCTTACCTTCCAGGGCGGCCAAGCACGACGAGCATCTCGCCACTGCGCACCAAACCCTCAAAGTTGCGGAGAATATCGATCCTGACCTTGTGTCGGTGACCGAGTACGCCCTTCATCCAGCCAAAAGCCTTTAGCCACATATTCGCGACATTTGCCTGGTAGTCCGCCGCAGTTCCGTAGCCAAAGGCGTTAAGATTGCGAAAGGAAACGCCTGCTGTGCGACGAGGGTATCTGTCAGGGTCGCGGGATGTAATACTCAGTAAATTCTTGGTCCATTTACGCGCGTTGAATTGGACGGAGCTGGGGTTGAGCTGAGGATCGCTGGGCTCTTTGGAGAAGGTATCGGTGCCCTCGCCGATGGTACTTTTTTCGGACAGATGCGACAGACTTCTTGCTAGAGAAGCAATCCTCTGTTCATCTTTGTGTGTGATACCCTCTTCCGACTCCTGACCGAGGGACTGCTCGCTCTCTTCTTTCTCTTCGATGGTTTCGATGACGTGAAACGAGCTTTCGATCCCCGCGCCCATGGTAGCGGACACGGCCGAAGCTCCAAAAGGAGAGGGAGGTACTGGTTGCATGATTACTGCAGGAGCTAGTCGTTACAGAGCTCTTTGGAGCCGAGGTCGATTCATGACATGAAGTCCTGGCCTTTGAACGAGATAGACACGAAGGAAATGTAGGGGCTTAGGTGAGAAAGTTGGATGAGGATGTGGATCATGGATGTCGGGTACCTGAGAAAGTTAAGTATGGGGATCCAAGCCAGAGGAAACAACACAGGCGGAAGACGGGAGAGTCCACATCCGAGGAGATGCCATCACTACTAGGTTTCCTCACTATAAGTCCTTGAGTCCTCGAGCCATGGTCGAATCAGTGCCAGAACCAAACCCGCAGTGACTGGTGAGGCTTTTGCCCGCCTGAGCGCTTTTACCGCTTTGGTCGTAGTCTCCCGCGTGGCTTTCGTTGTATAGACCGAGTACTTCAATTGCGAGTGGCAAGTCAAAGGACCAGCCCTTCGTATAGAGTTTCCCCGCCAAGAAGGGTCTGGGTTGTCAGCTTGGGATCTTTGCATGGCAAGTAATGCAGGAGGAACGGCGAAGAATATGCATATGTGCACAATAGCAGTGATTAGTCTGCAGACTCAAGGAGAATTGCGGATGCTGTGGTACCATGGAGTGTGATGGGGATGGGGATGGGGATGGGGATGGGGAGGAGAGTATAGGGGGGATAATATGAATTCAGTGCATATACAGGGCAGTATGGCAGCACCTACTAACTATAGTATGCTCCACCCACTTCCCGTCACTACCCCGGATCTGATCCAATCCGCGCGGGAAGGGAAAGTTCCGAATCAGTCATGCTTGGATCACCTGAGGTGATGTGTACATACCCGGTAAGCTCAACCAGTTTCCATTCATAGTGTGCCTCGCAAGACCTCACCATCACTACCACCATAGCCCGGAATGAAGTTGAAACTGCGACCAACAACGTGCGACAACGTGCGCATTCTTGAGAGCCATTCGATGAAAGCACTTCTCGCCGAGACCCATGGTCGTTTAAGTCATCTTTTCACCAGCCAATTCGAGAAGCAAGCCCGTGATCTAGCTATTTGGCACTCACAACTGGTTCAAGCAGATCGAAAGACCAGAGTAACGATTCTGACCATTAAATCTGGATGACCTTATACTTGACTCAATATCCCCAGTGCAAGGCAAGATCCCACTTTGTCGAAGGAAGAACCTATCGCTCTGCACCCGAGAGTCTTGCGAACGACTCACTCAAGTACTCGACTACAGAGAAGTCTCCCGTCGCGTCTCGAAACAGTTACAGCTTCAGAACCTGAAAGAAATCCCCCCTAATGCCAGCCCTGAGCCACATTGCTAGAGATCCTGCCCTTGATAAGCATACAGATTCAGCAAGAGACCGATAGATAAGCTTGGCGATCGTGTCAAAGTGGAGCACGATTCCGTGCTGACTTCCCCACTGTGGGGGTCTTGTGCACTGTTGATAAATTTAAGCCAGACGCGTCCCGATGTGAAGAGTCATTCCTCAATCAATTGCGTCCCTTACTCGGAAAATCGAAGCAGTGACCATGTCTACTCACGATGCACATTTGTCTGATGTCGAGCCAGCGCTGCCAACTTCGCAGGAAGAACAGCCGCTGCTGCGCTCCGACGCGGAAGCTTCTTGGAAGCCACCACCAGGCTTCGTCTGGATACAGCTAGGTTAGTAGTTAACCAAAAGCATAGAAGACGCCATTAATCGCAATATAGCAATCATGTCAAACGTCTTTCTCTCCGGCTTCGATGGTACCATCACTGCATCGACTTACGCTGTCATCAGCTCCGAGTTTAATGCCGCCAACACCGCCTCGTGGCTCACCACTTCCTACCTCATCACGAGCACCGCATTCCAGCCATTATACGGTCGCTTTTCGGATATATTCGGTCGGCGAGTCTCTTTCTTCACGGCCACGATCACTTTTATAGCGGGCTGTCTTGGATGTGGGATTGCGAAAAATGTGGTGTTCCTGAATCTCATGAGAGCGCTTACCGGCATCGGAGGAGGAGGCCTGATGACCATGGGTGAGTTTGGCAATATGATTGCTGCGTCCAGACACTTGATGAGGGACTGTTACTGACATCAGTCAGCCACTATCATCAACTCAGATCTGATTCCCTTCCGTCGCCGAGGGATGTATCAAGCGGTTCAGAATGTGATGCATGGCTTCGGGTCAATTTGTGGTGCATCCCTAGGAGGCTCCATTGTCGACTCTGTCGGCTGGCGATGGTGCTTTCTGTTACAGGTTCCAGTTGGTCTTCTAGCATTGCTGACAGGGCACCTTGTTCTTCAGCTGCCTGCTCCGACGAAATACCTTGAGGAAGGACACGGCTTTCGCACCATCTGGCGACTTGTTGACATCTCTGGGGCATGTGCTCTTATACTAGGTCTGTCGACCCAGCTGGTAGGTCTGAGTCTGGGCGGCAATGAGCTTCCTTGGACCAACGTGTGGGTGATAATGTCTTTGGTGGCAAGTGTGGCTTTCCTCGCCGGTTTCATTCTCATCGAAGGAAGAACGAGTGCAGTTCCCCTGATCCCACCACGGATGCTGCAGGGGGTACTTCCTGTGGCCACCCAGATCGCTAATGTCTGCGTGGGAATGGCCGCCTACGCTGTAAGAGCCTCGATCCCAGTTTAGGTACTGTGCCGCAACTGTGACTAACGAAGGCAGTTTCTTTTCACACTACCCCTTTTCTTCCAAGTTGTGCTATTGGAGTCGCCTGCCAAGGCTGGCGCCAGACTCGCAATTCCATCTTTCGCTACCCCAATTGGCGGAATTATCTCCGGCTTTGTAATGTCTCGTTGGGGTAAACTCGCTTACCTGGTTCGAGCTGGGTCGTTGCTCATGTGTATCGGCAACGCATTGGTGATGCTCCTGCATTTCCAGGACTCGGAATGGAAATACTTCACTTACTTGATTCCAGCAAGCCTTGGACAGGGTATTGTTTATCCAGGGATCTTATTTACTTTTCTCGCGGCATTTGATCATGCAGGTAAGTCCCTTGCCGTGTCAGTGCACTGGTTTTACTAAGCTGACCTGGCGGTAAGACCACGCCGTGTCAGCTTCCACCGTATACTTGGTTCGGTCGATGGGCACTGTTTGGGGAGTTGCCATTACTTCCACCATTATTCAGAACACATTGCGCTCGGGCCTCGGGGAGGCCTTGAGTGGAATACCAGACAAATGGAAAGTAACTCTCCTTTCTTTGAGCATACTAACCCATGGGGGCAAGGGCTGATCGAGGTCATATTCCACTAGATTATCGCGGAGATTCGTCATTCGGTCTCCGCAATTCATAACCTTCCACCGGACATCCAACTAGCTGCGCGGTTGGTCTACTATCAGGGCATCCGTCTGTGCTTCTTGGCGTCAGCTTGCTTTGGGCTTGTGGCAACCATTGCGGCACTATTCACGAAGGGAAAGGGCCTGCATCGCTCGCACGACGCCTAAGGGCTGGCCGCCAGACCCCAACCGGCTCCACAATGTAACCGCGCTAGCCACTGAAGCGGCGATTGCGTTATACAGGGGACATACAGGTATGTCGGAATGATGAGCAAGTCTCCGAATAGGGGAGACTAGACTTGGTGAGCTGCGGAACTAAGGACGGGACGGATTCAGGAGCGGGCAGACACTACATCCTATCCGCAGGTGATGGGTGGAAATCTGCTGCATGGAAGTATATATCAAGTCAATCGAATGAACGAGTATGATTTGAGTGAGACTGTTTCCTGCTTGTTAATTGGGACTCCTCAATACGAGGACCCTCGTCGAGTAGGTCGATTCCGCCTCCCCCGCATTGCGGAGAAATAAACTCTGGATGTCTGATTGCCGAGGGAAACCTCCCGGTAGCCTGCGTCAGACGGCTCGGAACCGCTGTTTGATTCCATCGTCAATCGACTACATATATAGTATAGTAATGTGTCTGCCTGTGAGCTGTGGGGAACGGGGATGAGCTAAGGGTCTCTGGTTCAGGCCTTGAGTATAAGAGTATCACTAGCTACATCTCCCCCGCATTATCGGCGACGATCATCTTGGGGCAAATGGTGGATAATGGAGAATTCCGCCCCAGTTCCGCTATAATGGGCCTCTCTAAGCTTAATCTGGTGCCAAACCCGGGCCCGCTTTGATAAATGGGCTCGGAATTCGATAAGGGTTCCGGGCTATCTGTAGGTTCTGTAAATACTGTAAACAAGTATCTGTCATTCCCTATCAAGTAGTCCTGGTCTTGATGAATCATCGAATCCCACCCTTCCCACCCCAGAAATCTTATCAAACTAACCTCGCTTATCATGTTGTGGCTTTCTTCCAAGGTAAGTAGGTATGAAGGCAAAAGTCATGTGTACTGTGAAAGGATGGAAGATGCCATATAATGGAATGGCTCTTCCCTTGGCACTCTCCATTTCGTTTCTCGAGCAAGAACCAGACTTGAGCGATAATGGAGTCAGAAAACCCTAAGCGTGCTTCCTCCAAGCCCGGCCATGAGGCCTCCTATGATCCCGAGGTCGATATGGCCAAGGGCCAGGTTGCCATCACGGGCGTGCCGGATGCGCATATGAAGCGGAATTTCAGTATCCTCAGCATCATCGCCATGGGCTACAACAACACCAACAGCTGGGTGGCGATCGCTGCGAGTTTCTCCATCGCCATTCAGTCGGGAGGCTCTGTCTCGCTGCTGTATGGCATCATCGTCGTCTTCTTTGCGATGCTCTGCACGGGCATCACCCTGGCCGAGCTGGCGAGCGTCTACCCGACGGCGGGGGGGCAATATCATTTCACCTCGATTCTGGCCTCGAAGCGGTGGAGCAAGGTCCTGTCGTACACCAGTGGCATCGCTGCCCTGTTTGCATGGATCACCCTCGGGGCGTCCATCGCCCTATCCACGACCAACGTGCTCATGGCGATTGTCATCCGGTGGCAGCCCGAGTATGAGACCAAGAGCTGGCATTACTTCCTGGTGTATCAGCTGCTGAACGGCATCATGGTCGCTTACAACATCTTCCTGACCAACAAGACCCTGTGGATCTATAACCTGGGCTGTAAGTGCATGCTTCCTTCACGGGTGAAGTCAACCTGATGCTCACTTTAACCATCCCCATTTTGCTACAGTCCTCCTCTCCATCTCCACCTTCCTTGCCCTCACCATCACCTGTCCATCCCGCTCAGCAGCCCACGTCAGCTCATCTCATACCTGGGGGGAATTCGTCAATGGATCCGGTGGCTGGCCCGACGGCATCTCCTTCCTCACCGGCCTCTCGACGCCGCAGTTCATGTATTCAGGCCTCGACGCCACCCTCCACCTGGCCGAAGAATGCCTCGACCCGGAGCGGATCGTCCCCAAGGCCGTGATTGTGACCGTTCTCGTGGGCTTACTCACGGCGTTTCCGTTCGCCATTGCCATTTTGTACAGCTATAACGATATCCAAGCCTCTCTCGACAGTCCCACGGGGTGAGCTTCCCTCCCTACAAAAGATATCCCAACCCACCCGCCCCAACAGCAAGCAACCAACCCACTAACAGCATCTCATGGACATGGCAGCTTCCCCATCTTCTTCATCTGGGAGAAAGCCACCCACTCCCCCGTGGCCGCCACGATCTTCATGGCGGCCCTCTTCGTCGTCTCCCTGGTCGCCCTCAACGCCGTCCACCAGACCGCCTCGCGCCTCACCTGGTCCTTCGCCCGCGACGAGGCCCTCTTTTTCTCCCGCCGGCTAGCCAGCATCCACCCTTCCCTCGGCGTGCCCGTCTACTCGCTTCTCCTCGACGGCCTCGCCGTCCTCCTCGTAGGCATCGTCTACGTCTGTTCCACGACCGGTATGACTTCCCCGCCTCCCCGCCAACAAATCCTCCACCAATAACTAACGAGAAACAAAGCCTTCAACGCCTTCATAAGCACAACCGTAGTCGTCGCCCAAATCTCCTACGCCATCCCCGCGGCCCTCCTGCTCACCCGCCGCCGAAGCCCGGATTACCTCCCGCCGGACCGGACCTTCCAGGTGCCCCATGCGCTGGGCTACCTGTGCAACGTGGTCTGCATCCTCTGGGCGGTCGTCATCACGATCTTCTTCACCTTTCCCACCGAGTTTCCGGTCACGGGGGGGAATATGAGTACGTTACCTTGGCCCTCCACCTCACCACGCCACAAAAAAAAAAAAAAAAAAAAAAAAAAAAAAAAAAAAAAAAAAAAAAAAAA